TTTTAAAATGTTTTTTTTTTTCTTGATGTGTTAGTCTGGATTTTTATTATATTTGTTGATGTACATTTACCCCATTCTAATATTGCACAGGATTGCATGGTTCACAAGTTTCATAAAACTGTCTCTACCCTACACAAACTAAAGTTTTCCTGTGGACGAAGCAAAGATGAATGGGCAAAAATAATGGAAGGTATGACTCCGCTTAAGCCAACATCACATTATAAATATGCATTATATGATAAATAAATACATTGATGTATTGTAACACATTTCCCACTTGATGGAAATAGATGGAAATCATTCTACATACTACAAAGACAAATATTGACATACTCTAAACTTCTTGTTCTTACAGGCGTGACAGAAGATGATTACATGAGAAGGATGGAGGTGGTCTACTGTGTTGCATGTGACATTCACATCCCTGTGGTTTTCAGCTCTGTACAGCAACATCTTCATTCACTCACCCACCTCAAGAGCAAAGTGGTAACATGACTCTATCCTCTCTCCTCTAAATATCCTGAACTGTCATTTTTATCTTATATATATATATATATATATATATATATATGACAACAGTTAGGCTGTTACGTCAACTTTTGAGTGTTTTGGCAATTAAATATATGATGTTTTTTTGGTCAGCTTGGGAAAAAATGTGACAAAAGTAAAGTATACTTAATAAAAAAAAATATATTTTTTTTGGGGGGGGGGGGGGGGGTTAGGAGTGAGGATGGAGTTCTCATATAGTATACTGTATGTGCACTTTTATCAGTGTATTTATCTATCTTTGTCTGCCTCCTCATTTGATTGGAAGATGACATCCAGTGTAAATCATGTCCTGCTAGCCAGTGGTCCACCCTACGAAGCACAAGCTGCCTCTATCCCATTATTCTGGGAGGAATCTTGGTGCTAGCATCACATGTGTGGGTCGGGGCTCTATTTTTCATTCACAGAGGAACTCCACTGGTGAAAACTGAGTGGCCTAATGCTATTGAGCCTACGGCACCTGCTAGTGGGTGGGATATATTAGGCAGAAAGTGAACATTTTGCCCTCAAAATTGATGTGTTTGAAGCAGGAAAAATGGACAAGCGTAAGGATTTGAGCGAGTTTGACAAGGGCCAAATTGTGATGGCTAGATGACTGGGTCAGAGCATCTCCAAAACTGCAGCTCTTGTGGGGAGTTCCTGGTCTGCAGTGGTCAGTATCTATCAAAAGTGGTCCAAGGAAGGAACTGGTGAACCGGCAACAGGGTAATGGGCGACCAAGGCTCATTGATGCATGTGTGGAACGAAGGCTGACCCGTGGCTGGCCCAACAGACAAGCTACTGTAGCTCAAATTGCTCATGAAGTTAAAGGGTTAGTTCACCCAAAAATGAAAATTAGCCCATAAATTAC